GGGTTTAGGGTTTAAACCCTAAACCCTCGCCAGGCTCGCGGATCCACTGGCTTACCCTCAGCCGGGCGTCTTGCAGGCGGCGAAAGGTGTCGGTTTGCAGTGGGTGCACAGCGACGTCTTGCCTTTTGGCCAGTCATGATGTTTAGGGTTTAGGGTTTGGGGTTTAGGGCTTAGGATTCAGGGTCTAGGGTTTAGTTTAGTGTTTAGGGTTTAGGGTTTAATGTTCAGGGAAGGTCTTTGGCCACTCATGACTTAGGGACTTAGGGGTACATGGAAATACTTTTTTTAATCTCTGGGTACTCTACTTCCTAAGAAGCAGCAACAAAAGTAGAACTTTTGCGGGGTATAGGTGATGTTTAGGGTGCAGGGTTAGGCTGCAGGGTTTAGGGTTTGGGGTTTAGGGCTTAGGGTCCAGGGTCTAGGATTTAGGGTTTAGGGTTTAGGGTTTCATGTTTAGGGAAGGTGTTGTTTTTTTGGGGCTCTGGGCTCTCGGGCGTCTGAGGGCTTGCGTTTGGGGGGGGTTTAGGAGGTTTACGGGGGTTTAGGCGTCTAGGAGATTTAGGGGCGGTTGCGGGGGTTTTGGGGGGTTTCGGGGGTTTAAGGGGGCTTGAGGGGTTTAGGATTTGGGATTGGGGCGGAGTGAAGGGAAGCAACTAGAATCTAGACTCCCAAATCTCTGATCTGCAGCGCTGCCTAGAGTGACCTACATACCCTTCATAAGGAGCTTCCTGAAAGGCGCTGTGGACTATGAGCTTGGACTTCAGAGCTACTGCCGATGATGCTGGCTGACGGCTCTCGCGTTGGATATTTATGTCTTTTCTTTCATGGCTTCGCGTGGTTTGGACGTGCACAGCCGAGTCGGGTGCATACAAGTGAAGTTCTTACAGTTGCTCAAGTGCATTAAGTTGAAAAATGCCGACTTCAAGTCCGTTAACTTCAGATGCATTGACTTCCAATGACGTTAATGGAGTTGACCACAAGTGCATGGCATTCAAGCCAACACACTTGAGTGCCACGCAGTTGAAGTGCATACAAGTGCAGTATGCAAGTGAGTATGCAACCATATGAGTGCATACAATTGTCTAAGTGCATACAATTCGAGTGCATAGAGTGAGGTGCATAGAGTCAACACACGGCAAATCGATGCTTTCGGGCCAATCGTCTTCTAGTTAGGGATCTAATGTGCGTAACTCCCGAATCTTCCGTGGGTCTAGGGCTTAAGGCTGTAACATCGAGGGCTGCATGTGCCAGAACATGAGTACCCTAAACCCTCAACCCTAAACCCAACACCCTAAACCCTAAACCATGATGAATCATGGTTTCCGCTACTACCCCCCTCTACACTACCCCCCCCCCCCTGGTTCCATAATTAAAGCGATTCAAAGAAAGCTAAGCCCAGTTAGGATTATGTTGAAGGGGGCCCTAAACCCTAAACCTTAAACCCTGAAACGTAAGGTGCGTCTGGGAGAACCACAGCGCCACCAGCATCACGGTGCAAGAAAGCCAGCATGTGATCGATGTGCCCAGCAAGTCAAGGTGCATGGCTGCAACGTTTAGGGTTTAGGGACCCTAAACCCTAAACCCTAAACCCTGAACCCTGAACCCTGAACCCCCCTTCGGAGATGGGTGCAGGCTTCAAGGCCCTATTCACCGGATCCTACGTTTCGACCTTAAACAAAACCTTAGCAAAACCTCGGACATGAAGGAATTAGGTATCCTACAGAGTCCCTTCAAGTGTACATGTAGGGGGATATACCAGAGACCTACTTCCCACCTTCCCTACAAAAAAAACACAGTAGGAAACAGACTGCCAGTTCAGGCTTATGTAGGGTCCAGTGCGGTGTCTATTCATGGTTTAGGGTTTAGGGTTTAGGGCTTAGTTAGGTTCTCGTGGCATTGCTCCCCTAGTCAGCTGCTTCTTCTTCCACAAAGGGCCCTTCCTGGAGTTTGGGGTTTAGGGTTTAGATCAGCTTTCGAGGGCATCATCAGCTCGACAGTGTTTAGGGCGAACCTGCCCCAACCACCCCAACCCCAACCCTAAGCCCCAAATCCGAAACTCAAAAAAGGTTCGAGCTCTGAGCTCTAAACCTGTCAACCCCAAAGCCTTCAGCTCAAAAGACCTTACCCTCCCTAAGAATCCATGATCCCTTAGTTCAAGAACATTCCTTAAACCATATAAGGAACCCTCTTATACCTTATTCAGGAATTTTCTTAAATTCAGGGGTATTGGAGTGTCTGGGCTCAACCCTAAACCTCAAGCCTTGAACCCCACGCTCCTCAATCCTTCTGGAGAAGCCTGAAGCTCTGCTGCACCAAAACCCTAAACCCTATACCCCTAAACCCGAAACCCTGAACCCTAAACCCTATAACCCTAACCCCTAAACCCCCCGAAGCCATCAACCCAAGAGCCCCAGACCCTAACGCCGTCAAGCCTAGCCCCCCCGCCACCCCGTTTTAGGGTTTTAGGTTTAGGGTTTAGGGTTTTAGGTTTAGGGGTTAGGGTTTAGGGTCTAACTCCAAGCCCCCAAGCCTAAACCCCAAAACGCAGGTCGATGTTCTTGACTTTCTCGCAGAAGCGGTCGACTGATGGCGACCAGCCAAACATTGTAATCTTTTTTTCTCCCGCAGAGGGTGGAATTTTTGTTAGTGTACTCAGAGCTTAAGCCTTCTCATTGGGCTGGATGGTCATGAGTACGTTGCTTAAACGGCTGAAATCTTAAAGTCTTCAAGCATGTGGGGTTTCTGAGAGTTAGGGTTTTGTTTGTTTCTTTATGTTGGGGAAGAGGGGTTCCCATAGTCGGGATATGTTTAGGAGGTATGTAAGGGGATCCCCTAAACCCTAATCCTTAAACCGCCTGGGGAGCTCTTATGTCATGGGGACATACCAGCAGATGCGGGGGGCAATCTGATCCCGAAGCCAATACCATGTTTCCTTGCCCCTAAGCTTCCCTAAACCCTAAACCCTAAACCCCTAAACCCTAAATCCTAAACCCTAGGTACCATGAACCCCCCCCCTCCCTTAAGAACCCTGTAAACCAAGGCAGCATGATCAACGGCAAGAGCCTTGCCTCACGCATGAGCTGGGGTGCAGCTTTGGGGCGTTTTTTGGTGTCGACCCACTCAAACCCCCGTTTAGGGTTTAGGGTGCAGGGTTTAGATTCTTGGGGACCACAACGACGAAAAAGATGCACGCAACGACTCCTAATTCAGTGTTCAGTTTTATGCGTGCAGAAAATTCTGCTTCCACAGCGCGTGTTGCGCGATTGCTTGAATGCACTTCAAGCCTGGAGTGTCGGACATGCAAGGCAGTTGGATTGATAAACAGCTCGGAGCGTTGATGGCCGCAGCACAGGGAAAGGTATGGCTTGTGGGAAGGACATGGGCCTTGAAGTTGATTCGGGCATGAGAAGGCATGGAGAAAGAGATGCGTGATGCATGAATCCAGGGAGCGGAAAGTATGCCAGTGCCGAATGACAGACGGACCGGTGAGGGAGGTGGCATGCAAGACGTACAAGATGGCTGGCTGTCTGGAATCTGCCAAGGAGCCCCGTAGAAGCTAGGATGCCCACTAGTGCCCTTATTCCCTTTTTAGGGGTGCAGGTTCCCTTATAAACCCCTTTAAAGCAAAAAAGGGCACCCTTTTTAAGCCTAGGTTACTGGGCAGCCTAGGAAGCTAGGTGGGGCGCTAGAGGGTGCTGGCCAGACGTGGGCGCAAGCAGGAAAGGCGAAAGGCGAGGACTGCGAGATAAGCTAAGGGTCCAGATTCTGGACTTCGATCAGGGGAGTCGGCGCAAACTCAATGTTATTCCTCAACTGCTGTTTAGGGTTTAGGGTTTAGGGTTTCGGGTTTCGGGTTTAGGGTTTAGGGTTTAGGGATAAGGGTTTCGGGCGTAGGGTGAAGGGTTTCTATCGAAACCAGGGCCATGCCCGGTGCGCCTCCGAAACCAGCATGCGCAGGGCCATGCGCGCATGCGCGGCATGGGACCGGTTTACGGGTTTAGGGGTTGAGCCTTCTACTTCTCGGTAGCCCAGTGGTACCCTTTTCCCTCTTTTTTGGTTATGGGTTCCCTTATAAAAGAACCAACCCAAAAAAGGGGTGGCCTTATTATAAGATGGTTACTGGCAAGTTACTGGGCTACCAGGTCTAATTTAGGGTGTTAGGATCTATGGGTTTGGGGCTTTGTGAATTTTCTTGGTTTTGGGTTTTTTTTTCTCGAGAGTTTGGGCTCTCAGGGCTTTCGGGTTCAGGCCGACAGCTCCCAGAGTTCCGTAAAGCTGCGTTCCACGCACAGGACTCTGATTCCTACTAGTAATTCCCTAGCGCAGCAAGTCTCTGGGCCCTTTGCTAGCGGTCCGAGATGCGAGTACGTGTGTGCGTGTGTATATGTATGTAAGCATGTGTAGGTAGTACTTAGGTTACTTGTTGTGATGAAAACCTCATGTTCTCTAAGTTGCGTGCACGTGTTCCTGGTTTATTGTGTCCTGGGCCACTGTTTTTTAGGGTTGCTCATAAATATTGGTGAGTGTGCATATTGGGTGTCCTTTCGGGGGGCCCTTTACCCCTAAGCCCCCTAAACCCTAAACCTTAAACCCTAAACCCTAAACCCTGAACCCTAAACCTTAAACCCTAAACCCTAAACCTTAAACCCTAAACCCTAAACCCCAGTACAATTCATGCTCGAGGCTTCACTTTTCAATGGCCTCACCCAACGCCACTCGTCTTGCGACTGATTCCTTCTCGGAGCCCTTCAGGCCTTCAGGTACTAGGACCCGGAGTAGGGTAGGCCCTTGTTCCCTGTTTCAGGTTCCCTTCTAAGCCCTTTTAAACCAAGAAGGGTACCCTTTTCTTTCCTGCGTTACTCCTGGGTCTAGGGCCTAAACCGGAAGCCGGGACCTTCAACCTTAAACCCGAGACCCGCTTGACGTGCACAGCCTGGGGGCCTCAACCCTAAACCCCAAAATCCTGAACCCTGAAACCCCCTAAACCCCAAAATCCTGAACCCTGAAACCCCCTAAACCCTAAACCCTAAACCCTAAACCCTAAACCCTAAACCCTAAACCCTAAATATCCAAGAAGGGAGTCGGCTGTCGGGTTCAGGATCTAGGGGGGGCCTCTTCCTGCTTCCCAGAAGCTACGGCTTGACTTTGTAGGGCTTTGCGGTTTGGGGTTTAGGGTTTAGGGTTTAGGGTTGAGGGTTGAGGGTTTAGGGTTGAGGGTTTAGGGGTCTAGGGTCTGGGCTTTCGGGTTTAGGGTTGAGGGTTGAGGGGGTTTGGGGTTTAGGGTTTACACACAAGCTTTCGCTTCAGGGCTCAGCGGGTTGCTTGGGCTTGAGACAGTTCGTAGGATTTGGGCAAAAAGCTAAGCTTAGGATGTAGCGCAGTGCGCCGCTAAACCCTAAACCCTAAACCCGAAACCCTAAACCCTAAACCCTAAACCCTAGACCCTGAGCCCCAGAGCATGAGCTCCATGAGTCGTAGACCGTAAGCTTTGAACCCTAGCGGTACGCCTTGCCACACAAAACCCTAAACCCTAAACCCTAAACCCTAAACCCTAAACCCCAAACCCTAAACCCTAAACCCTAAACTCTCAACTCCAAACCCTAGACCCCAAACCCTAAACCCTAAACCCCAAACCCTAAAGAGTAGTGTCAAGTCCAACCCTGGAGTCCTCTTGAAGTGCTCTTGAAGTGTTCGTGGATTGCTCTTGGCCGTTTAGGGTTTAGGGGTTAGGTTTAGGGTTTCGGGTTTAGGGTTTACGGTTTGGCGCTCGGGCTCTGGCAGTTTTTGTGGGCTGCCATTGAAGAGCTCTGAAGCCACTTTTTCATTGGCTTGGTAGCGCAGTGGTACCCTTGTCCCTTTTGTTGGTTCAAGATTCCCAAAGAGCCCAGAACCCCTTAGTTAAGGAATATACCTTAAATCATATTCAGATTCCTGAATTAAGGGGTATCGGGCTCTTTGGGTTCCCTTACAAAGCAACCAACCCAGAAAAGGATGTCCTTATTCGAATGTGGCTACTGGGCCCTAAACCCTAAACCCTAAACCCTAAACCCTAAACCAAGTCGGTATTCTGCGCCCAGGAGAAAGCCCACAGGAAAGTGATGTTCCCTTCCAACATCCAAGGCTTGGAGCCGTGCCTGGGTCAGGGTTTAGGGTTTAGGGTTTAGGGATTAAAGTAGACGATCATCCTGCATGTGCATGGGCACCTACACCCACGCAGGGAGAAAAGAGTGACCTAAACCCTACACCCCAAACACGACCCTAAACCTTAGACCCTTAACCCTGAACGCTAAAGCCTAATTCCCTACGGCTCAGGTTCTTGATGCTCAGTCATCCCCTGCCGACCTAGATGGCGGCCAATCTCAGTGCCGGAGATATCTGAGATCATGGGTTTAGTGTTTAGGGGGTTGTTGTACGTATGCCGTTTTGGGCGTTTCCGAAATTAGGGGTACCTTATTGGGGTCCTTAATATAAAGGAATCGAGTCCTAACCCTAAACCCCAAACCCCAAACCCCAAACCCCAAACCCTAAACCCCTTTTCGGAAACCCCCGTTTCGCGGCTTGGCGTGGCGGGTGTTGTGGGCACCTTCCAGCCGCAGCGACCTGCAGTGGGACGTATAGGTGTTCTCCTGAGATGAAGGCCTGCTGAAGGGGGGTTTAGGGTTTAGGGTTTAGGGTTTAGGGTCTAGGGTTTAGGGTTTAGGGTTTAGGGTTTTTCAGGTAACAGTATGCTTTGAGGCAGGAAAACTGTTGTCATAACCCCATACATGGGGCACGTGTACATCCAGAGTAGGCCCTTATTTATTCCCTTTTTCGTTACGGTTTAGGTTTACTTAAAAGCCCCATTAAACCAACAAAAAGGGACCCCCTGTTCATTCCTAGGTTACTCACCCTAACGCCGCCTGAAACCCCTAAGGACTCCTAGGTTACTCAATTGGGTCCAGAGGTTACTCACCCTAAAGCCGAAAACCCCTAAGCTAGGATGCCCAGTAGTACCCTTATTCCCTTTTTGGTAGGTTCAGGTTCCCTTAACACTTATAAATCTCTTTAAGCAAAAAAGGGCACCCTGTTTCATCCTAGGTTACTGGGCAACCTAGTAAGTACTCCTAGGCTACTCCTAGGTTACTCACCCTAACGCTGCCTAAAACCCTCAATTGGGTCCAGAGGTTACTCACCCTAAAGCCTAAAACCCCTGAGTACTCCTAATGTTGGACTGGCTTTAGTATAAGGAGGGTCTATAATCACAAGTTTCGAAAATTTATTCTGCGAACCGAGTTTGTTCAGGGTACCCGCTATTATCACAAGTTTTTTCCGGACGTTTTTTTTTTTTTTTTAAGGGCTTGTGTTTTGGGTTAAGAGCTTTCGCAGTAAGGCTTGAAGCCCTGAGGGCTTGGGCTCCAGGAACCTTAAAGAGCCAGAGCGCGGAGAATCCAGAAATCTAAGCCCGGCCAATCCCATGTAAAGCCTAATGGAAATTCATTACGAAACGAGGCCCCAAACAAATTTTGTGATAGGTAGCCCACGGGCCGGTCAGACTGTTTTTAGTAAGTTTGTCTGGCTACCCTCTATAATACCAAGTTTTTTTTCGGATGATTTTTTTTTGAGGGTTTGTGTTTTGGGTTAAGGGCTTACGCAGTAAGGCTTGAGGCCCCGAGGGTCTTGGGCTCCAGGAATCTTAAAGGCTGGAAAGCTTCAGGCCTTGAGGTCCTAAAGGCTTCAGCCCCTGAGGGCGGTCCCCCCCCCCCAATTTGTTTGGGGGGGTCGCCGGGCCACGCGTTTATAGAGGGTCCAAATTTGTTGGGGGGGGGGGGGGGGTCCCCCACATTAAAGACAGTGCAACATTAGGCTACAACCCTAAACCCTAAACCCTAAACCCTAAACGACTCTGGGTACAGAACACCAAGCATTGTACAGCGCATCCCGATGATTCACCCGCGCGTGACGTGGGCTCGGGGAGAAAAGTTTCGACCGCAGGATGCTTGGGGTTTAGGGATGCTTGGGGTTTAGGGTTTGGGGTTTAGGGGTTTCGGATTTCGGGTTTGGGGTTGGATGAAGACCGGCACCCCTAAGGTTGCACCCCTAAGAGGTTCCCTTAACATGGCCCTTCTACAACCTTATCAGGATCCTTCAGAAGCGTCCCCAAATCCCCAGGGCACAACCTTAAGGGTCCAAGGAAGAAGCCTCAGATCTGGTATCTCAAACCTCGACCCAAACCCGAAAATCTTAACGGCTTTGTCGTACTGGTCCGATAGGTAGGGTTTAGGGTTTAGGGTTTAGGGTTTAGGGTTTAGGGTTTAGGGTTTAGGGTTTAGGGGTTAGGGTTTAGGGTTTAGGGTTCAGATTTGCGTTTTCAAGCTTAGGGCTTTCCCCTTGCTGGGCATTTTGAGGGAGAGGCGAGGGCTTTGGGGCCCTACACGGCAAAGCATAGCTCGGGTAAGGACGCATCCCCCTCCTGGCATTCATACCTCCTCACCAAGGGTTCAGGGTTTAGGGCATGGCTTCTAAGATATCAGGGACGACTAGAGGGTTTAGGAGTCTAGGGCCCTAAACCTTGAACCTTAAACCCTAAGCCCTAGCCCCTAAGCCCCTAGACCCTAACCCCCTAAACTCTGGACCCTCAACCCTAAACCCGAAACCCTAAACCCTAAACCCGAAACCCTAAACCCGTCGGCCAGTTGAACGCTTCGGGTAAATTATGTGAGTTCTTGGCCATCCTCATAAGGTAGGAGCTCGGAGGAGCATCATTCCAGTGAGTTGAGGGTTCAGGGTTCAGGGTTCAGGGTTCAGGGTTCAGGGATCAGGGATCAGGGTTCAGGGTTCAGGGTTTAGGGTTTAGGGTTTAGATCTAATTCGACAGACCTACAATTCACCCTTAGGCGCGCCAAAGACCATTCTTTAGATCCTCCAGGTATAGAATGACACCTACACCTCTTAGACCTTAAACCCTAAACCCTGGTCTCAACCCTAAACCATTTGCGGAAATGAGGCGCGAGGGACCTACGAGCTGATTTTCAGTCCCGCCGGCCCTCGCGGAAGTGAGGCGCACGCTCTAAACCCTGTAAACCCTAGACAGCTCTAAACTTTACAAACTCTGCAACCCTGAACCCTAAACCCTAAACCCTAAACCCTAAACCCTAAACCCTAGACCCTATGCATTAAGAAGCGGCCGGGAATCTCCATACTCGGCGCCTGCAACTCCTCCAAGGGCTCTGAGACGCGCAAGGGGTAAGGCTGTTCCGGCAGGGAGGTCATCGACATGGTTGAGTCCCTAAACCCTTAGGCCGTAAAGCCTAAAGCTCAAAGCCTAAAGCCTAAAGCCTAAAACTAAAACCTAAAGCCTAAAGCCTAAACTCTTAAAGCCTAAAGCCTAAAGCCTAAACCCTACCCTGGAATCGAGATCTGAGATATTTTGGGTCAATGGCATGATTGGAGGTACCAGCATTGGGAGGAGTTGAGGTCCTCCTAGTCGGTTGCACCCTTTTTTGGGGGACAAGACTTGGTTTAGGGTTTAGGGTTTGGGGTTCAGGGTTTGGGGTTTAGGGTTTGGGTGTTTAGGGTTTGGGGTTTAGGGTTTGGGGTTTGGGGTTTAGGGTCTGGGTTTAGGGCTTTGGGGTTTAGGGTTTGGGGTATTGGAGGTTTAGGATAGGCTTTAAAGGGTTTGGGTTCCTGCGGTTCGGGTTGCCCTGAGTATTGATGTCGGTCTTCTGAAGGTTCAGGGTCTCAGCACCTTCGGGGCGGTCTCATTGTTTCGGAGCTAGGGTTGGGGCTTAGGGCTTTGGGGCGGCGAGCCCATGTCCCCCTAGAGCCTAGACCCCATTTCCCTGTCAGGCTGTATCAAATGCTAGGGAGTGCCTAAACCGTAAACCCTAAGCCCTAAACTTAAACCCTTAACCCTAAACCCTAAACCCTAATCCTTACTCTGGTTGAAGGACAACACTCAAAGCCTTTGGCTAATCCGTGCTAGCTTTCCTGTTTCACCTCGGCGATCGGCAGCGAACTAGAGACCCCAAGCCCCAAGCTCCATGAACTAACCCTAAACCCTAAACCCTAAACCCTAAACCCTAAACCTTAAACCCTAAACCCTATACCCTAAACCTGCTTAGATGGTAATCAGAGAGTTTAGGTACCCTGTAAAATCCTTCAACAGGGCCCTCCAGCTGCCCGCAAAGCTTCCTTGCCCCTGCCCTTGAGCATGGACAAACCCTAAGCCCCCAAACCCGCTACCTTTCCGGCAGTGACCCTAGGGTTTAGGGTTTAGGGTTTGGGGTTTGGGCTTTGGGGGCTTTGGGCTTTGGGCTTTGGGGCTTCCCAACATGAAAGCCCCGAGAATTGCCACGCAGTTCATATGGAAGGCTATGTCGGGTTTTTGGTGGGGGTTGTAGACGGTGGAGCCACACTTGCTCATAGTATTCCCCCCATTTTCCAAGCCAGAAGCGGCCATTGAAAACAACAATAAAAATCGGCGACCTTTGCCCCCAGTGTGCTTTTACTCCTAAGGGTTTACGTTCTTCGTATAAACCTTGCTACGTGGGCAAGATTTCTTCTTTTTCACACTAAATCCACCCGAACCCTAAACCCTAAACCCTAAACCCTAAACCCTAAAGCCTAAAACCCTAAAGCCTAAAACCCCAGAAACCCTAAACCCTGGACCCGGAGCCGGTTCGTCTTCGAGCCAAAGTTCGCCGAAGTCAGCCAAATGGCTGCAAAGAGTGGTGTGGAAGCATCAAAATGGGGCGCCACCTGTACCCCCCCCCCCTTTAGGGTTCCTTTAGGGTTTAGGGTTTAGGGTTTGGGGTTTGGGGTTTGGGGTTTGGGGCTTGCGGCTTGGGGTTTGGGGTGGGGCTTGGGGCTTGGGGTTTGGGGTTTAGGCTGCCATTCTTTGGGCGTTGAGGCGTTTAGGGGTTTCGGCTTGTGAGTTTCTGGGATAAAGGTGTAGGGTCTGGCGTTAGGATTGAGTTTGGGGTGGCGGGCTTAGCTTGCCGGGGCTCTTCATAAAGCATTTTAGGCGTTGTTGTGAGAAGTTTGGGACTGCTTTGCTTTGTTGGACTGCCATGTGTTGGGGTTTTAGGGTTTAGGGTTTAGGGCTTAGGATTCAGGGTTCAGGGTTTAGGGCTTAGGGTTTCTTAAGGTAGGGTGCAGAAGCAATGGACCCAGGGCTTTGAAGTCAAACCTGCCAGCCGAAAGAGGCTCCATCCTGTGGTTTCGCGGCCCTGGTTGGCTGAATAGGGAGGCCGTTGCTTATTCCTAGGTTGCTGTCTATAAGGGGTACATAAGGGGTCCCCTTTTTTAGGGCCCCGACTAAGCCCTCCTATACACCCTAAACACCCAAGCCCGACAGCCTACATGCCAGTGCCTGGAACTCCTGACTTCCAGGCTCCCTTGGACGTGAAGGCCTGAGGCTCGAAGTTTATACAAGGCCTAAACCCGAATACCCCAACACCCGAAAGCCTGAAGCCCTAAACCCAAAAACCCTAAAATGCTAGAACCCTGGAGACCCAAAAACCTAAAGACCCCTAAAACCCGAAAATCCAAGAATCCAAAAACCCTAACACGTTAGAACCCTAGAACCCGGAATCACCTAAAGAGAACAAGACGGAAGCTGCTACTATAGGGGTCGGAATAATTGCTAGTATTCCCTTAGGGACCTTTATCATTGTACTATAATAACCCCCAAAACCCCATTCCCAAACCCTAAACCCGAAACCCTAAACTAAACCCTAAACCCTAAACCCTAAACCCTAAACCCTAAACCCTAAACCCTAAACCCTAAACCCTAAACCCTAAACCCTAAACCCTAATCATTCAGGCCCCTATATTAGAGCCATGGTGATCACCACCGGGGGACGACTGGGGACCAGGCTGTACAATCCAGGCTGGGGGGCCCCTGCTGGAAGGCTCAGGGCTTGGGGATTACAGGGCTCACATAGGGGCTTCGAGTTTTGGGGGTTTAGGGTTTAGGGTTTAGGGTTTAGGGTTTAGGGTTTAGGGTTTAGGGTTTAGGGTTTAGGGTTTAGGGTTTAGGGTTTAGGGTTTAGGGTTTAGGGTTTAGGGTGGGGTGAGGGTTACAGGACTGAGGCCTCAGAGGGGCCGGGGCTTCCATTTTCGTATCAGATGCTCGTGAAGATACAAACGTCACTTCTTGGCTTCTTCTTGGAGGTTCTTTCGTTTTTCGTCATCCACCTAGTAACCTTTAACCCCGAACCCTCAAATCCCCGAACCCCTCAACCGAGAAAACTTTTCAGCAAACCATACTAGCGGCTCTTGAGCCTACGTACCCTAAACCCTAAACCCTAAACCCAAACCCTAAACCCTAAACTCATGAGCCCACACCCTCAGTCCCAAACGCAAGATCCCCAAATCCTGAGCTTCACACCCACCTAGAATCTGCGCCCTACCCTAAGAGCCCTCGAACCCCTCACTGAATCCTTAAATCCTACAAATACTGAAATCCTAAAAACCCAGACTCTTCAAGCTCTATTTATTTCGCAGAGAGGGTTTGTGGAGGGGTTTAGGGTTGTATTGGGTTGTGCCCATATGGGTTTTGGCTTAAGGGGTTGAGGGTTTAGGGTTTAGGGTTTCCCGATATGAAGGCAGGGCAGCTGTCGAATTGGAGTCCCTCTTTGGGTGGCCTTAAAAGGGGCAGAAGTCCTCAACCTCTAACTACTCGATTGCCTCACAGCGCACTCAATCCCGAACGCCCTGCAACCCGAAAGCCCTAAACCCTAACCCTAAAACCCTCAAGTCTCAAACCTAAACCCTAAACCCTAAACCCTAAACCCCTGAAACCCCGAAACCCTAAAACCCTAAACCCCTAAACCCCTAAACCCGAACCCCCCAACCCAAAGCCCACTGGAGGCCGAAGCCGAGGGTTGCTGCTCTGCTCGAACCTTCGGTCCCTGGCATCCCGCGCCTGGACGGAGGCACTCTCTGAGCTTCGATTCTTAAGGCCCTGAGCCCTGAGCCCTAAGACCAAAGCCCTAAGCTTAAAGAGCAAGGTATGGGGCTTAGGGTTCCTCTCTATGTGCTGAGCCGAAGACCCGACCCTAGAGCCTGAACCCTGAACTCTTTAACTTTCAAGCCCTGGACCAGCCCGCCCCGGACCTCAACCTAAACCCCCCAAGCCCCCAAACCCCAAGGCCTTAAGCCCTGAACACCCAAAGCCTAAACGCCTAAGCCGTCAACCCCGAACCCCTAAACCCTAAACCCTATGAACCGTGAATCCTAAACCCCCTAAACTCTAAACCCTTACATCCCCCTCCTTGAAAGGAAGCCTCGACCCACACCTAAACCCTAAACCCTGAACCCTAAACCCTAAACCCTAAACCCTGAACCCTAAACCCTAAACCCTAAACCCCAAACCCCTCCTTGAAAGGAAGCCTCGGCCCGGCCCGTGTCCCAAGAGACTTTGGCTGGCATCCCCTGGGCGGGTCGGTCCACGCTGACAGGTGCCGGGATTTGGGGTTTAGGGTTTAGGGTTAGGGTTTAGGGTTTAGGGTTTAGGGTTAGGGTTTAGGGTTACGGTTTAGGGTTTAGGGTTTAGGGTTTAGGGTTTAGGGTTTGGGGTTTGGGGATGGGGGTTTTAGGGTTTTTTAGTCTAGGGTCTGGGATCTAGGGTCTAGGGTCTCGGGGTTTAGGGTCTGGAGCTGGCGCAGGCATTCGGTAGCTTGATTGTGTGCCCGACGAAGGACAGCGTTTCAGCATCCCATCCCTTGATTCTTCGATGCCAGCTTTTGTGGCCCATCCACAGCAGACTCCCACGCCATTCCAGGAGGCAAGCAGCGGCAGAACTCAAACCCTAAACCCCTGAGCCCTTACAGTCTAAACCTGAATTTGGAGGAGCCTCCACCAGGTAACAGGATGCTGGTGACCCTAAACACCAAACCCTAAACCCTAAACCCTAAACCCTAAACCCTAAACCCTAAACCCTAAACCCTAAACCCTAAACCCTAAACCCTGTTGTTACAGAAAGACATTTCATTACTTACCGTTGTTCGCTCATGGCTCAAGAAAAAGGCGTGTGCACGTTTCCCTAAATATTGGGGCTGTCTGCTGGTAACAATAGGTTATCAGCCGTAGTACCACGCTAGTTTGACCACTCTGTGATGACGGACCAAGCTCCGCTAGGTCCTGCAGGCATACCAGTCCCGGACGACGGAGCGAGCAACCTGAGCATGTCCTTTGATGGTAATGCTCCAGGTGAGGACGCCGCTCCCCGGGAGGGTGAGCTCCCGTTGACCACAACCGCACTAAGGCTACACGACCACAGGCTCTTTCAGAAGGGTGCAGTTTCCGAGGCCGGTATCACTACCGGTGCCTCGAGCCGTCAGACTGCGTCCGCGCCTTGGCAGGTTGTGTCCCCTAGTGCTAGACAACCACCGGCCAGCCTTCCGATAGCAGCCGGAGGAAGCTCATCCCAAGATATTAGTCCGTCAGCCCAGAGTCTTTTCCAACCGACCTCCTCGACTATGAACAGTTTGACAATCGGCGATCAGCGAATCCTGCAGAATCAAGCAAACATTAGCAATGTGTTTGTTCAGAACGACAGGTCGCCGTTACTCGAGCAAATAGCTGAACATCGCCACAATCAGATCATTGGTCAGATCGCAAACAATTTTCAGGAGCAACTCCAAGCAATGGGTATGAATGTCATGTCGGGAGTGTCACAACTCAGAGTTGAACTTGCTCAGGCCGAAACCAGATTAGGTAGTGAGGAGACACAGGCCAGACAGAGATTGGCAACAGGTCAGTCACAGCTTGACTCGCAGGCCAATGAGATCAACGTGGCACGAGGTGAAGCTCAAGCTTTGGCCCAAAGACTAAGCGCTGCTGAGAGCCACGCTGACGCTACCTACGCTAGGTTGCATGATCAACTTCACCAAGCGGAAGCTAAGGCCGTCAGCAACGCGGATCTCCTCAATGCTGAAATGGACAGTGCCCGTGTCGCCGCTGCTCAGGCAACACATGCAGTTCAGGCGACATCTGAGATTGAGATTTCACGCTTGACTGCTGAAGTTAGGGATTTCAGGGTGATGATGAGTCACGAGTCAGAGAAGAGAAAGATGGCTGAAAAGGAGAATGCTGAACTGAAATCGCAGCTAAACCAGGCCATCGCGGCTCTGCAGGCTCATGCAAGCGCAACGGGGTCCGCCCCATCTGCGCCACCGGGTCTGATCCCTACCTATCCCATCAATACTCCGCCTCAGGACGCCAAAGGGTCAAGGCCCCGACGCCACCCTGACGGGGGAGGCCCTGATGGAGATGATGACGGCAGCGATGATGATGACTCGAGCAGCAGTCATAAAAAGAAAAAGAGCAAGAAGAAAGACAAGAAAAGCAAGAAGAGGGATTCCAGTTCCTCTTCTGATCTCTCGCCCAAGCAGCTCAAGGCAATCATCAAGCAACTTGCCAAAGGAAAGACTAACGAGAAGGAGGAAGTTGATGAGGATGTAAACAAGACCAAATCCAAGGAGGCCGAGAAGATCCTGTTCCCCAAGTTCCCGACACCTGAACAGTACAGGAACTGGCGAATTAGAGTTCGTGAAGCTGTAGTTGCAGCGTCCAATAAGCCGGATGAAGCTTTTGAATGGCTTTCGAAGGTATGGGACAAGGACTCTAAGGAAGAAGAGTTGAGGGACACAGGTGGCTTCTCTACTCTCGATGCCAAGGTCTTGTCGGCAGTGACAAATGTCCTTGAAGGTGACTTCGCGCGCCAAATGGACACCCTCAAGGAGAGGGAGGCTCACGCCGGGAGGCTAGTGAGGGGTAGACAAATCCTTTTTCTCCTTCATCAGCACTACAAACATCCTACACAATTCCGTGTATGACATGGAAGACCTCCTTTCAGTGACATTGGTAAACGAAAACCTTGTGATGTTCGTTAGGAACTGGGATACGGTGCTTTCAGGCATTCAGACCACCCCTGAAGACAAGGTTCTCGAACCGCTCTTTCATAGGCAGGTAAAGAAATGCAAAGCACTTCAGCACGATATTGCCATCTATGAAAGGGCTGCCGAAGGCTCCAGTGAAAGATCGTTTAAATTTCTCTACGACGCCGCCAATAGCCACTTGAATCGAAAAAGGCTCGAGAGGAACCGGGAGCGGATTGCCAAGCAAACTGGAGCTCCTGCTGTTCCTACTGCGCCTGCACCCAAGAAAGTACCCAAAGGGTTTTGCATCTCTTTTGTCAAGAACGGCAGTTGCAAGAATGGTGGCAGTTGTAAATACAAGCACCAGACGCCCAGCGGACGTGGCAGATCGCAGTCACCCGGCGGAGGCCGAGGGAGAAGTCCTTCAAGACCCAACTCCCCGTCAGGAAAGCCTCGAGTGTGCAAGTTCTACAAACAAGGTCGTTGCGACCGTGGAGAGAATTGCAAATTCATGCACACCGGAAAGCCAGGTGCCGCTGCTACACCCGACGGAAGTCAGAAGGGATCTGCGCGCCCTGACAAGGGCAAGGACAAGAAGAAGAAGGAACGCAAGGGCTCCAGGGCTAGCTCCAAGGGTTCTAAGGGAAGCAAGGGTTCGAAAGGATCACATGGCTCCGGGAACTCGAAGGGCTCAGCTCGAAGGAGGAGTGGCGGACCTTCTCTCCCTGCAGCAGTTTGCCTTCTAGGAGCAATGATGGCCGGCACGGCTTCCCAAGCCGACGCTTTTACTCTCCGGAAGGATGAGTCGTACTGGCCCCCTCAGTGTTCCACTGACATGCGTTTGGCGCTACCAGCAGTGTCTTTTGACAACAGCCCAATGTACATCAACTTCCCACTCAGAGATGGAGAGCTTAAGTTCCCTGTTGAGAATCCTCAGCGCAGGTATGACAAGAAGTGGTCTGTTGACTACATTCCCAAGCCAGACAATCAATCCACCAGAGATGCACTTATGGCCGCTCGCATGTTGAGAGCTACGGTCAAAGACAGTCTGGAGGACAAACCAAGCCGTTGCAATTACTGTTGCGATACGGAGTTTGGTTGCAACTATTGCATTCCAAAAGGGTTGAGAGTGTCTTGTCCCGCTAAGGTTCAACTATCATCAGAATCGCCACCCATCGAATGGATTGGTGACACAGGGAGTGCTCAGGATCTCATCTCAGAGCGGGAGCTTGTGAATCTGCATCCGTACGAATCGGACTGCCCAATCAACATTTGCACTGCGAATGGACCGAGTTACGCAGGCACGCAATGTGATGTAGGGATACCATCCCTCAACAGCATAGCCAAGCCTTATGTTCTCCCCGACACTCCCAATGTTCTTTCAGTAGGACAGAGATGCATGGATCTGGGTTACGACTTCATTTGGAAAGGATTTCAGAGACCCTATTTCAGGAGTCCGGGAGGTGACAAGGTTTTCCTTGATGTGAAGGATAACGTTCCGTACTTGAAGTCTTGGAAGGAGGGTATCGCTTGTCCTGCCCATTCAAGACACGAGTCTACTCGGATCGATACGGATGATGCTGTTGAGACCATCACCAACCCAGAACAGATTGCCGCGCAACTTATCCAGGAGCAGGATTTCTCCCATCAGGCATGCTTGCGATTGCTGAAGGACTCAAACTTTAAGCAATCTAGGTTCAACAGGAAAGCCATCAAACCGAAGGACAGTAAGGACTCGAAGTACATGATTTTCGGGGCTTTTTCACATGGGGGGATGCAAGGGATAACCAATCGCACTCATTCCTACCCCAAGGTGATTAAGTACCTTCTGTCCTATCTTAAACATCATGGAGCGGATGGCCCAATAACATCGATTGCTGTCAATCAGAACTCAGGCGTTAAAATGCACAAGGATGTCAACAATCACCGTGAACACCTCAACTACACCATTGCAATCGGCGATTTCACCGGAGGCGAATTGTGGATTCACGATGACACCATCCGGAAGGATGAGCCAGGTTGCATCAACAAGATCGCCCCCACTGGTGCCAAACTGGGAGGTCGTTTGCACAGGTCGAAGTCAAAGATCATTTCCTTCGATCCAAAGACTTTCCATTGCGTCACTCCCTGGAAGGGCGAGCGTTGGAGCATCACGGGATACGTCAATCGCGCTGTGCACAGGCTGGATTCGCATCAGCTAGAGAAGCTTAAGTCACTGGGGTTCTTGCTGCCGAAACAGAAGAACTTCCCTCCAGCAGTGCCTGCGGAAATCGATGAGGAGATGACTCTTTACGAGTTAGCTACTATGGATCCTCCAGCTCCGGCCCCAGAACCGAAAAGCAAGCCTAAAGTGAAGTTGAAAAAGAAGCCTGAGGAACCCTCAGACAAGAAGAAGATTGCCAAAGAAGCCTCCAAAGCCGAACCACCTTCGGATGAACCAGATTGGTCAAAAGTCGAGGGGTTATTGAAAGAAGCTGTTGCCCCCATCCCTTCATCTCCGGATGAAGAGTTCCTTGATGAAACGGAACTGATCAGGTCGCCGAAACCCGATTCAGGTGAGCCGAGCGTCCTCCCTCCTCCTCCGGAAGGAGAGAGGCATGCTCCAGATGGGGATCCTGGTGAGGGTAGTGGTGGGGAAGGCAAGAGGTCGAGGCGCATTGAGAATTTGAAGAAAGAAGCCAAGTCAGCGGCGCATCTCATGACGCACCTTCCCAAAAATCCATTCTGTGATGTTTGCCAAAGAGCTAAGATGTACAAGCCGCCTTCGTACCAAACGGATGGCTGGCACAAGGCGTTTGGAGACCATATCACTGCGGATCACATCATTGTGTACCGTGATAGGGATACGGTTATAGAAGAATCCAGATTGGCCCTCGTACTGAAGGATGTTGCGACTTCTTTTACGTATGCCTACCCTTCAGCACTGAGGTCAGAGGATGAGTGCAGTGCAGCATTGCAACATTTCGTTTCCTCCTCTGACGAGGTAGGGGTATTCTACAGCGATCAAGCTAAAGAACTCATCTCTGCCGCCAAGTTCTTAGGTTGGAGACATGAACACTCCAAAGCGTATATTCATCAATCCAACGCGATCGCAGAACGCGCAGTGCGCGCCACCACCGAGGGTACTAGGAGCAATTTGCTTCAGGCCGGGCTCTCGCATGTGTACTGGCCACAGGCTCTCGAGCATGCGTGTACCGCTGTGAATATAAGTAACCCCCATGGGGCGAAGTTTACACCGTGGTTCAAGCGTTTCGGGAGCCAGTTCCCGGGAAAGGTCATTCCCTTTGGTTGCAGAATCGACTATTGGGTTGGACCCAAGAAAAAGCGCAAGAATCGTGAAAGGTTCGAGCCAACTGCTGAACCAGGTGTTTTCGTGGGATATCATTTTCAGCCGGGCATGAAATGGAAGCACGAGGTATTGGTTCTTTCACTGAAAGAGTTAAATCGACAGGACTTCCATGAATGCATCAAGCCCATAAGAGCATACCAGTTCAAGGTGCCTGAAGGTGATTTCACTTTTCCCATGAAACAGAGGTACGAACGTGTGCAACAAGGTCTCGCTGCCGATGCCCTCGAGCGACCAGCGACGGAGTCACTCCACAATCAGGACGCTGAGCCCTCAGCTGAACAGGCCGCTGAAGCTTCTGACGCCGACCGGAAGGTTGAGCCCCCTAAAGTTCTTCACCCCAAAACCGGCAAGGAGATTCCTCTGCCGGAAGGTGGGAAGTACTATGATTCGGGGGGTACACTAGGTCGTCGCTACGGGGGGACTAGAGGTTCTAGAAAGCCGGACAGCATTCCGAGCGATCTATGGGTCCGTCTCTCTAAAGCACAAAAGGAGAAGGCCATTGATGATGAGGCTCGAGAGCAAGCTTTGAGAGATCTCGAGGCCCGAGAATCTCCCTCGTCAAGTAGCAGCGCCAGGCCCTCTGCAGTAGCTAATCCGGTTAAAGATGAATGGACAATTCGGGGGGATAAGCTCATCCGCTTTCACTACTCTCCGAGACGTGAACTGTTCTCCCCTGATCTCACTGATTGTCCTGTTCCTATCTCCGCTCTTGGTAAAGAGAGATTGACCGAAATCATGCCAATTGGAGGTACGAACATCATAGCCGATTGTGATGAATGGCGTCATGTACGCAAGCGCAACAAGAAGCTCAGCTTCAAATGGGTTGGTCGTACTGAGTTCGACATCCTTACCAAACCCCACACTTCGGAAGAAGCTGTCAAAGATTTCCCATGTATGCCTACAGTTCCCATGTCTAGTCATCAACATAGGGACAAGATCCCTGCTTCCCGCGCTCTTACTGCCGAGCAAGTTCAGGAAGCTATGGCTATGGTTGCCAGGCCAGTAGGAAGAAAAGAGCTGTTAGCTGATCCTCAGGCCCAAGCTTCTCTTGACGTTGAATGGGAAAAGTTGATGAAGAAGAAAGCCTGGGACATGTCATCTGTTCGTGAATGGGAAGAAGTCTCTAAAGAGGCAGCCAAAAGAGGAAAGAAGGCCCACGTTGGCAAAATCTTTGAAATCTGCGTGGAAAAGGGCAGTGAGCTTCCTAAAGGGAATCCCTTACGGAAGTTCAAGGGTAGGACCGTCTTTCAGGGCAACAATGTGAAGGACGAGAACAATGACACCGCTCTCTTTAGTGAGCTGGGCTCTAGTCCCGCCACCATGGAAGCGGGTAAGGTTCTCGACGCCTATGGCCATGCCCCCGGCCACGATGTGGAACAGGGGGATGGTAAACAGGCGTACACGCAAACGACTCTGAAAGGCGCTGACACTTGGGTCAGGCTCCCACGTGAGCGTTGGCCTAAGGAGTGGGTCGGCAAGTTTAGGGACCCCGTCGTCCGCCTCAGATTGGCTCTTTACGGGCACCCAGACAGCGGGGGCTTCTGGGAGCAACATTGCGAAAAGCGCTTGCGGGAGGTTGGTTTTGAGCTCGTGTTTCCCGCTGCATGGCCATCTGTCTTTTATCATCCCACATTGAAGCTTTTATTAGCCGTGTATGTAGATGATTTCAAGATGGCCGGGCCAAAAGAGAACCTAGCCAAAGGTTGGGAACTCATCGGTTCTCGCATCGATATGGATACACCTACTCCCATCGGAAGATATCTGGGATGTGAACACTTATCTCAGTCTTCATCGCTTGGAAAAGCCGATCATCCTTTTGCGCATGTCTTCGACAAATCCCTTCCTGACCCCGCTGCCAAACCTGCCACTGCCGCAGCCAAAGAAGATTTCACCGAATACTACCCTGAAGAAGGGATGGTTGTCCGACATCACGTTCAGCCCCGCAAGGCGTTGTTCAAGCCTCGCGCGGCGGAAGCCGTCGCACTTGACCTTAGTCCGCACAGACTCACATTGATGCGCCCTCTAGGTTCTGAGGCCGCGCCAGACGAGCTCTGGGACACGGGGGGTGCTAAGCACAAACGTGATCACTTATGGACAGGTGCTACTTATCTTGCCGCCAACGGTCACACCGAGCGTTCCGCAATGGCAGCCGTGAAAAAGATTAGAGACAAACTTAATGCCAAGAAAGCAGCCCGCAAACACGCTTTCTATGATGTCAATCAGTTGAGTGATCATCAGGGTTGTATGTATGCTAAGACCAGACAAGTCGTCTATGACATGAGTTCCTTCTTGCAGCAGGCCATCGACCGCTACAAAGAACTCGCTGGTCCCGAGTGGCATAACCTTAAAAAGGTATCAACGCCCTTCTATGATGACAAAATCGCTCGCCCCACTGACGCGGAGGCTGAACCCAAAGGCAAGCTTGCTCCTATTGCGAGTCGTGTGCTCATGAAGTTGCTGTTTGCAGCAAGGATGGCTCGTTATGACTTATTACGTGCTGTCCAGGGTTTAGCTAGCCGGGTCACTAAGTGGTCTGCCGACTGCGACAAGGCACTGCACAGACTCATGTGTTATGTTGCGTCCACTCTTGACCATCGAATGACCTGCTTTATAGGAGACTCCCTTGATAAGTGTAAGCTCTGGCTGTTCGCTGATTCTGATCACGCAGGCGAACATGACAACAAAAGCACTTCAGGAAGTTTCCTCGCGTTGGTAGGACCCAACACCTACTTTCCCTTGTCCGCTTTTAGCAAAAAGCAAACGAGCACCGCGCTTAGTTCCACTGAAGCAGAAGTCGTATGTGCGAACGTTACTCTGCGAGCCTTGGGTCTTCCTTCATCTGCACTATGGAGCGTGCTCCTGAACGCGGGGGGGGATACAGCTCCCAAGCCTCTTCGTAGCGACATTGCTAAACACGATTTCAAACCCAAATCTTATCCTTTCCAGGGAATCTCGACCATCAACAAGACAGGACGTCATCTCCTTGCAGACGGAAGGATTGTGGAGGTTTTTAGCAAAAGTAGCTCTTTACCCTTTCCCGTTGAGCTGACTAGTCACCCTATTAGGGATCTTTGGTTACTCCAAAAGGGGAAGTGGACTTTGCATCAAAGGGCGGTTGCTTGGGAAGAATTGGATGAAGACGAACGCACTCTGCCTCCAGATGATTTCGAGTATGGCATCCTCGTGTATAGAAGGTCCACCGCAGAATACCGCCGCCACGCGGAAGCGGAGGCCATCCTTCAGAGGGAAGCCGAGGGCATAAGGGGTTCGGGGGGTGGTGTCGATACTGAGGTTGGAGTCACTAGGAAACCTTGCGACTTCGGACTAATAATGTCTGTGCCTCATTCGATTCAGCCAGTTGTCTTAGAGGATAATCAGGCCACCATCCGCATCCTAGAGTCTGGAAAATCCCCAGCCTTCCGTCATTCTGACAAGACTCAAAGAATCAATTTAGGATGGATCGCAGAGCAGTTTCGTAGGAAGCACTATGACCTTGCTTACATCAACACCAATCTTCAAGCTGCTGACATCCTTACAAAACCCTTTACCAATGCTGAAAAGTGGCGAAATGCCTTGCTATTGATGGGAATCACTCAGCGGAAGCTCGAGAGCCGTAAGGCTACACCGGCCAGCGTTCCGCCGCCCGCCGTTGCGAGCGACTCGAGGCCCGACAGCAAAACGAAGCGGGTCATTATAGAGGTTTGCTGTAGTGATGACTCCATCATTGGGGAAATAGCTCATCATGAGTTTCCCGAGTGTAAGGTAGTTAGAGTCACCGAAAGCATGGACCTTAACTCACCAGATACCCGTAGAGCCATCATCGACATTGCCAAAGAACACCACCGAGCTGGCGCTCGTGTTCTAACATGGGTTAGCTTGCCTTGCACTGGTGGCAGTCAATGGACTAGAATCAACCTTAAGGTTCCCAAAAATAGAGATGCTGTGCTTGATGCCAGAAGAAAGTTCAAGAAGTTGTGGGCATCATTCGTTGATCTTTCTCAGGGCCTTGATAAGGCGTCCGTTGACTACTGTGTTGAATGGCCAAGGGACTGTGAGTATTGGGGATGGGACAAAGTGAGGAAGTGGCTTGATAGGCATCCGTTTGTTTATGCCAAATTTGATGGTTGCAGGTTCGGATTGCATAACAAGAAGGGTGTTCCCGTGAAAAAGCCGTGGTGTGTTGCCACTACCCTTCAAACAGTGTACAATCGTCTCAATGACAAAAAGTGCACTCGTAGCCACGAGCATGCTAAATGCCTGAAGGAATCAGAAAATTACAGTAAACCTCTTGCACGGGCTATTCACAAAGCCTTTAAGGAAGTGAACTCCTCTGCAGCGGCTAGATCAAGCTCCCCTGTAGTCCCAGCGTGCCCAGCCATCATCACCTCGCCGACCATGACCGAGTTTCTGACTGACGAGGAACGCCAGCAGCGTGTCGCGGAGTTCAAGCAAGCGCTAGTGGACCCCGACCGCCTGGCTGACGCCATGGCTGGCATCCTTCTTCCACCGAGTTTCAGTGACCTGGCGGAAGCTGTGGTTGAGCCACAGGATGACGATGCCGACGACGACTTATTTCTCGGCACAATTCCCATCTACCGCTGGCGGGAGCTGCGTGAAGAGGACCCTTCGTCCCATTGGACGGTGCTTTACGAGCGATTCTATCGCAAGCACGGAGTCCGTGTGTTTTCGGAGACCGAGATTGATGCCTCCGTGCTTCGTGACTCCACCCTGGGGGGTTGGATACAGATCCTTTACCGACATGCTCAGGATCTGGCCACCCTGGCGTTTGGACCGAAGGCGGGCGGTGCAATCGATTCCACTAAGCACTATGACATTTGCCGCAGAATTGCCAATCTTAGCGTAGGCGCTTCCGACTTCCAGTATTTTGCGAAGACTTCGAGTCTTGTCGAGAAGCTCTTTACTCCTGCCCTTCAGCGCATTTCACTCCCTCCGGAAGAGAGGCGACGGTTCTTGATCGTCGGAGACTCTTCCCTTGCGTTGTGCCATTACACGGGGCGGAAGCCTACGCACCGCATGACCATTGAGCCGCTCATGCAAGACGTTTTCAGGAACAATCCAGAAGTGGAGAGCCTAATCTACTCAATGAAGTGGGGGTATCACCTCGACCAGCTCATCGATGAGGCGCTCAAGCACCTTAACGAGGCGAGGGATCACCACCCGGAAGGGGCGGCTACCCACATCATTTTTGGATGGTCGGGAAACGATGTATGGGGCCAACACGGCTATCATGGCTACACTTGGCATCTTCAGAGCAAGTTCACAAAGCGAACAGCCGAGGAGCTCGAGCAGATTGACACTTGGCCTGCAAAGCAGAAGCTTCGTGTTGATCGGGCGTGTGAGAGAGCGTGCAAGCTCCTCCACCGGACTGACGTCTCGGGTGTGTCTTTCTTGATGGGCAGCCATCACTCCTGTTTCTTCCCGGTCGGGGAGCTCTATGACAGGTGCATGAAGAATCACGCCCGAGATCTGATGAGCGGAGGATGCACCATCATTGACCCTGTGGAGCTCTATGAGCAGACCAGCAGGCCTGATGGCTTCCACGCTGACGCGTCGGATCAAAATCTGCAGAGCACCCTTAGGTGGCACGCGGCGATGCTCCGCGGCATACTCACAGATTACCGCCTTCTCGCTGTTGAGCAGCAACTCATCGCAAATCAAAGAGAAGCCGTTTTTCATGCACACTTTGTGTTGAACAAGCCCGAACCGTTCCTCACCGTGCCCCCTGCGTCCGGTAGAATCCTTTCCAAGATTGTCGATTCACCGGACCCACCTCTGGCGAGGGAGGCAGAAGAGGAGATTGTGTTGGCCGGTCCACTCCTGGCGGAGGCGGAGTACGAAGTTGTCGACGACGACTCGGCTCAGAGCTGCAATCCGCAGCCCATCACTGAGTTAGACTTTGCCAGGAATGACACCAGGCCTGGCGCAGGTTGCGTCCTCGCGATTGAAGACAGCGACCCGATCAACGTGGTTGCTGAGGAACACCTCGTCATGGCCAACCAAGCGGCAGAGGGCATCACGCAGGAAGAACTCACCGCGGTCGCGGCTGAAGAGGAAATTACCCTCCTCAGTCAATTCGTGGAGCAGGATGATGATCCATATGAGAATGCCGACACCTACTCCTTGAAGAGAGCTGAAGTGGTCGCGCCTCCTTCTCCCGTGGTCGTCATCAGTGACCCCGACGCCCCTCAGCCGAGCGAGGCCGTTTCTCAGGCACCCCTTGTCCCCAAGGCAAAGCCGAGGCCTCCCACGCTGCCGCGTTGGGTTACTGCCGATCAGCTCCCCGATCTGCCGGATGATTACCGTTTCCTCACGGAGAACGCCCGGGTCTGCTTGTCGAAGAAGATGTCCTTCCTTGCCCGGGGATTCGCCAATCGGCGAGCGCCAGAAATGGCGGTACACATCTCAGCCAGGGACAATTCTATTGAATGGTCCGAATTTTTCGAGAGGTTGGGAATGATGTGGAGAGGCCTCCGTGTGGAGCACGTGGTGAACGCCCTTCCTGCTTGGGGAAACCCAGGGGGGATCGTCGTCTACGACTACGACCACGTGTTGTGGTATCTCAGAGGATGGAAACACCACGTCACGAATCCACACACTGGTGTGCAAGAGAGGCGGTACTAAGGCCTAAAAGGAGGCATGGTCAGGGTTGCACACTCCACCCTGACGGGTCGGATTCGCCGACCCAGCACTTTTGAGCAAATTGTTTTCGTTCTTTGCATTTCTGATTCCATCAGCCTACGTGTGTGTGCCCGTGCGCCACACTGCATCTCCTTCGCCGCTCTGACGAGCTGGCTACACAGTAGCAGTTGTAGTCAGTTTCTATCCTCAGGGTAACAGGTGAAGAGCACCTCCCTGACGGGCTGGATTTATTTTCAGCTGGTTATGTGAGGTGAAATTTCCTCAAGATGCAGTCGTTTTGCGTACTAGGTACGACTGTAGCGAACATCGTTTGTCTTTCCTCAACTTTTGACGCCTCTTACGTTGCACTAAGTTGCGCGGGGGGTGTTGTTACAGAAAGACATTTCATTACTTACCGTTGTTCGCTCATGGCTCAAGAAAAAGGCGTGTGCACGTTTCCCTAAATATTGGGGCTGTCTGCTGGTAACAATAAACCCTAAACCCTAAACCCTAGACCCTAGACCCTAGACCCTAGACCCTAGACCCTAGACCCTAGACCCTAGACCCTAAACCCTAAACCCTAAACCCTAACTTTAGGAGGGGGGGGGGGGGGTTGAAGTCTTATTGTGTTCCTGGGCATGGGGGTCAGGGCCTAGGGTTTTTTTCGCAAGGTTTAGGGTTTAGGGTTGCAGTAGGCTACGTGCAATCTTTAAACCCGAAGCCCTACACCCTAACCCTGAACCCCTAAACCCCAAACCCCTAAACCGTAAACCCCAAACCCCAAACCCCAAACCCCAAACCCCAAACCCCAAACCCCAAACCCTAAACCCTAAACCCTAAACCCCAAACCCTAAACCCTAAACCCCAAACCCTTAGGGTTCAGTCCCCGGAGCTGCGGTCAAGCGTGCTGGGCTCGCATTTTTATCCGGCTGGACCGTTTATCCATTTTCAAAATTATGCTTTGGGACATTTTTTAATTTCCCTTCCTTCCTTAGAAGGGAGCCTATTCATAAATAATTTTCAAAAGGGTTTTAAGCACAATTCAGTTTGTGGTTTGGGGTGTTTAGGATTTATTGTTAGGGTTTGTTAGGGTTTGTTCGGGTTTGTTCGGGTTTGTTAGGGTTTGTTCGGGTTTGTTAGGGTTTGTTCGGGTTTTTTAGGATTTTTTTTTGGTTTTTTTAGGGTTGTTTAGGGTTTTTTAGGGTTTTAGGGTTTCAGGGTTTTAGTTAGGGTTTTAGGGTTGCGGTTTAGGTCCGAAAACGTGAAAACATTGTAGGATTGGGTCGAATTGAGAGGGTCGTTGGGGGGCTTCATGTCCTGTTAAGGAGCCCCTAAGCTTCCCCAAACACTATACGGTTTAGAGTTGAGGGCTCTTAAGCCCTTAAGCCCGAATCCATAAAAATCTAGGGGATTTTGGGTACCCTAAACCCTAAACCCTAAACCCTAACCCCTTAACCCCTTAACCCCTTAACCCCTTAACCCCTTAACCCCTTAACCCCTTAACCCCTTAACCCCTTAACCCCTTAACCCCTTAACCCCTTAACCCCTTAACCCCTTAACCCCTTAACCCCTTAACCCCTGAGGGGTTAGTCTTTGGCCGGTCCTTTTCGCCAGGTCTCTTCCTGAAAGTCGCCGAGAACGGACCACGGGATCAGACGGTCTGGAAGCCACTTTGTTGCCATTGACCCTGGGTTCAGGGTTTATAACATTTATTGTTCAAGGTTTAGGGTTCAGGGTTTACCCTAAACCCTAAACCCTAAAACCTGAACCCTAGACCCTAAACCCTAAACCCTAAACAACACCCCTAAGCTCGACACCCTAGAGCCCTTAAACCCGGACAGGAACTGGAGGGTTGGCCTTAGCAGAGTTTAGGGTTTAGGGGTTTAGGGTTTAGGGTTTAGGGTTTAGGGTTTAGGGTTTAGCTAAGGTGTTATTGGAGTTTGGGGTAAAAGGGCCCTACGACAGTGCTCTTGGCAAAGCAACCATACTGGGGTTCCGCTCCCAGTAGAAGGTCCTTCAGGGGGGCGGGTCCAAGGGGTGGGAGAGGTACCTGCAGAAGTGTGTTACCATCGGTTTGGGGTTAGGGTTTAGGGTTTAGGGTTTAGAGTTTAGGGTTTAGGGTTTAGGGTTTAAAGTTTTGGGTTTAGGGTTTAGGGTTTTGTGGCAACCCACACCCCTACACCCTTTGCCCCCCCCCCATCCCTGCTTGTGCCGAGGCGGCTCACGGCCCGAGCAGATGTCATCGCACACTCGCTGACCCCAAAGCAGGCAACCTCAAGGATGAAGACTCGAACCCCTAAGGTTGTACCCCTAAAGGTTCCCCTTACTATACTCCTCATATGGCCCTTACATTCCCTTAGGGATCCTGAAAAAGGGGCCCCAAAACCCAAGGGGACAACCTGAAGGATCCAAGGTAGAACCCCTAGACAACCCTAAAACCCTAAAGCCCTAATCCCCGGAGCGTAAACCCTGAACCCGAAACCCCAAGCCTACACCCTAAAGCCCTAAGCCCAAACCTTAAACCCTAAACCCCTAAACCCGAACCTAACCCTCAGCCCTAGGCCCTACTTTGGTTTAAGAGTTTCTGGTTCGGATTTGGGAGAGTAAAGTTCAGGGCTTTGGGCCTCTCATCCGGATGTGAGGGTTTAGGGACACTTTTCGGAACTTCAAGTTTACGGCCAAAAAGGACCTGGATTTCGGGAGCTGACCTAGATGGCTGTAGGCCCTAAACCCTAAACCCTAACCCCTAAACCCTAGGGTGTCGGGTCGTGGGGTTCATACAGGAACCCTCTGTTGGTTTCACTCCCTTTAAGCATTTGAAGCCCCAAGCGCCCGAAACTCTCAGTGCCCTTGGGCCACCTAAACTGCCCTAAACCCTAAAGAGGTAAGGGTTTAGGGTTTAGGGTTTAGAGATTAGGGCCCTAAACCCTAAAGCCTGCAATGGTGCCTCGGTTCCTACGTTTAGGGTTTAGGCCTTATCAAGTTCAAGTTTGCGTATCACGGCCTCAGGTGACCTCGAGCAACCTGTAAACGCAATGTGGAGATATACCCAGGAGATGGCTATTTCTCCGGTACTGGAGTTTGGGCTACTCTAGGTACACTCTAACCCTACATCGTGTAACTTGTAGCTGTCGCCAGACTTGAGACTAACCTTTGAAGCTCTAATCCCAACCCCAGGTTTAGGGATTTCGACGTTATGGGTTGAGGGCTTAGGGTTTGGGTTTAGGGTTTAGGGTATAGGGTTTAGGGTTTAGGCTTTGAGGAACCTTAACTTATGTTTTTCAAAGCCCCGGCAACGCCTTTCCCCACCAGCGCCGCTCAACGGTCCAACCAAGCCCTGGAAGTTCAGGGAGGCCTCAAGAGGGTCTCGTCACCTAAACCCTAAACCCTAAACCCCTAGACCCTAGACCCTAGACCCTAGACCCTAGACCCTAGACCCTAGACCCTAGACCCTAAACTTAAAATCCTAAACCCTAACCCTAAACCCTAGACTTAAAAACCTAAACCCTAACCCTACACCCTAAACCCCAAATCCTAAACCCCAACCAGGCGTCACTCATCCTTTCGGCCATGGCGCGTGCGCGGCAGCAGCAGGACATGACTCTCAGGGTTTAGAAGATGCTATGCCTGTCGGGTTTTAGGATTTAGGGTTTAGGGTTTTATGGCTCAGGAACTTCAAGCCTAACCCTAAACCCTACGCCTTAAAGCCTTGCAGGAGGGTTTCCTCCGCCGATTCACCATCAAGTTCCCTGGACCGACCCAGTTCTCTTCATCAGGGTGTTTTTTGCGGTGTTTAGGGTTAGGGTTTAGCCCTGTTTTGGGATGTGGTGCTGGCCATTCGCTCTAAACTCCGTCCCCCATGACCTCCTAATACCTTTGGGGACGGATTCTGAGTAGGAGGCGTGCTGTTTCCCTAAATCCTAAGCCCTATAAGCCCGAGAAGCCCGATAAGCCCCCTATAAGCCCTATAAGCATGGATGCAATCTACCGGTTCGATCAATACCGATATATTACTGATTGTGACTCGATAAAGTAACCCTAAACCCTAAACCCTAAACCCTAAACCCTAAACCCTAAACCCCTTTGGATCGGTTCGGTACTCGATGACTAGCGGTAAGTGATCGATAGACGCATGCTATACCATTCGGTCATGGCTGGGAGTGAGGTTCTTTACAGCATAAGAAAGGCCTCACCGCAGATCCCTTTTGAACCCTAAACCCAAAACTCTTAAGTTTGATGCTTTGGGTTTTGTGGGGTCTAGGTTTGGGATCTTGGGGAGTGTTCGGGTTTCGGGTTTTTTGGGCTTGAGGGTTGCGTGGGTTGTCGGATGTCCCTGGAGGTGCGGAACTTGCTCTTAGGATTTAGTGGTAGCCACTATAATGCGTTTTTGCTCACGTCATGAGGGGGATTCGAGCCACCGACCTTTCGGTTTAGAGGTGCACAGCTTAGCCGTTGCGTTATTGACTCCATGGCCTTCGTTCGAAATATTTCTGGATAGTACTTGGGTTCATTGTAAATGACCTAAAAACGCGCAACGAATTAGTGGCAGCCACTAACTCGTTCTACGGTCGTTTTGGGGGCTGCCTTTGGGGAGCTCTCCAAAGAGGTTTTTGACCTGGACCCGCGAAACGAGTTAGTGGCAGACACTGTGTCGTTTCGCGGTCGCTTTTTTTTTTTTTGGGGGGGGGGCCTTTGGAGAGCTCTCAGGGTAATGTCTACATGATATTTAGGGCGAAAAGTGTTGTTGACGCACCTCGACCCCCCTATGTTTCTTGGAAAGCCTATGGCCTAGTGGATAAGCACTCGATGTTGATAGCGATGTGTCTCGATACTGGTCTGCTTCGGTTCGGTTCGATATCGATATCGATACCGCGCATTAGCGATACCTCACGGTTCGGTATCGATACGGATTCGATATCGACAAAAGTATCGTTGAAACATCCATGATAAGCCCTAAAAGCCCTATAAGCCCCCCAAGCCCCCTAAGCCCAGAGGCCCTAAGCCCTAACCACCCTGAGCTGAAGGGCTGTCTCAATCAATGTGCGCATGGCATGGTGTGGAGGTGTAGGGTTGGAGTTTAGGGTTTAGGGTTTAGGGTTTAGGGTTTAGGGTTTAGGGTTTAGGGTTTAGGGTTTAGGGTTTAGGGTTTAGCGTTTAGGGTTTAGGGTTTAGGGTTTAGGGTTTAGGGTTTTGTTTTTGAGGCTTTCAACAAGGTGCCCTGGGCATGCGGTAGATTTACGAGAACTCCAAAGCGTCCCTTAAATAAACTTAGTATAGGGAACTGGTATCCTTGCTAGCCGCACAGCAGGCAAGCTTTTTTTGGGGGGGGGGGGGGGGGGCCTGACGCTGGGGATGTACTTCGCAAACGTCGCGCATCAGTTTGGGCACTTTGAAATGAAGCCCTGAACCCTTAAGCCTAACCGCCAAGCCTGAGGTCCGCCAAGATTCAAGGGTTTAGGGTTTAGGGTTTAGGGTTTAGGGTTTAGGGTTTAGGGTTTAGGGTTTAGGGTTTAGGGTAACTTCAAACTTTTCTGTTCTGGGAAGTATAGGGGCTTGGAGAGGGTCAGGGGGCACAAGCCCTCCACACCTTAAAGGCCTAATGCTTCTACTGAGGAACAAATAGTTGTTTTATTTTGTGGGTGGCTGTTTCTCTGCGGATTGCCAGCATGAATGGCATGATGGGTGTAGGGTCTAGAACCCTAAACCCTAAACCCTAAACCCTAAACCCTAAACCCTAAACCCTAAACCCTAAACCCTAAACCCTAAACCGCCAAAGCCGGGCAGAAAGCCTCAAAGACTCCTTTGAGGTTCGCGCCTTCCCTGGTCTCCGGGGCTGAACTCATGGATCTCTGTACTTCGGCTCGATGGAGGGTTTGGGATTTAGGGCTTGGGGTTTAGGGTTTAGGGTTTAGGGTTTGGGATTTAGGGCTGTGGGTTTAGGATTTGGGGCTGAGCATGCAGCATCTTGGTTTGGGGATTTAGGGTTTAGGGTTGAGTGTTTAGGATTTAGGACTTGGGGTTTAGGGTTTAGGGTTTCGGGGAGCGCAGGAGGTTAGGGGCTTCGTGCTGAGGACGTTTGGCTTCCGACGAGGACACGTTGGGGTTCGGGGCATTTGGGAGCTCAAAACTACATTTCCAATTCAAGGCTTACAAGGGTTTGGGGCTGAGGCCCTGGTATCTCAAAGGATCCCAGACCTACGGCTCCCGGCTTAGGGAAGTCCCAGCCCATACAAAACCCTTGTTGAAGCCCCAAAACCCTCATTAGAAACCCCAACAAGGAGGCTTTGTTGTGGGGGAGGCTTCCCAGAATCAGGACTTTAGTATGTTGGGAGGTGTACTAGCTGTCTTGGGAAGAGTTCCGGATGCCAGGCCAGAAGATGTATCGTTTTTTTCCGGTGCAGGGTGCAGGGATGTGGGATAGGGTTTAGGGAATTGGATTCAACTCGACTTTAGATGAATACATACCCTGTATGCTTCTAAGCCCTAAACCGGTTCCCTAAACCCGAAACCCTAACTCTAAACTCTAAACTCTAAATCCTAAACCCGAAGGCTCCTCTCAATCGACAGGCACCACGCACAAAGCTTTTGAACCCCCAAGCCCTCTACATCACCTTTGTGTCATGGGTTCCCCTGCTACCCCTCTCTATACCACTCCCTCCAGGTTCCCCCCCCCCCCCCCCCCCTAGTTAAGGCTATGTAGGGATCATGATGCCTAATGACGGTTATTTAAGGGCGGAACCTAATATAGCGGGGGGGGGGGGGGGGAATAGGGGAACCCATGATGGTGGAGGATTTAGGATTTCAAGTCAATATCTTCCAGTTTGGGGTGCTCCGAGGCGGCATCATCAGCAGCCTGAGCCAGCTGGATTCTTACCAGGAGGATTGTAGCCGCTGCTAAGGGGCTGTAGGGTTTAGGGTCAGGGTTTAGGGTTTAGGGTTTAGGGTTTAGGGTTTAGGGTTTAGGGTTTAGGGTTTAGGGTTTAGGGTTTAGGGTTTAGGGTTTAGGGTTTAGGGTTTAGGGTTTAGGGTTCAGCAGCTCCGGATCGAGCAGTTTTATGGTAAAGTTTATTTACGGCTTTGATATAGCACCCACCACCCAGAGAACCCCATAACATTGAGAAAAACAAAAATGCAAGTATCCTCCAATCATCTCAGTTTCAAAGGCTTAAACGAACGGCCACAACAAACACACTTTAATATTATTAACTTCAGACTCTTGCCATTGCATCTCTGCGTTAGCCTCCCCAGGCCCTCAACTCCGGGCCTTGAGGCCCACCTGCCGCGCTTGCGAGAACGGTGGACAGCATACAGGGTCGCGGAGGTGCGACGCCGATGTGGTAACTTGCTTCGGCGTGCAAGCCACTACGACCAAAGGTCGCGGACAGCTCTTCAATGAACGTGGGCTGCAGCAGACGTTGGAGGACGTCGAAGATCTCCCTTCTTCCTCATCTGGCGACAGCTGATGAAAAAGAGCATTTTGCATTGTCCTATCTGCCATTGCAGTTTCACGGTTGTCCTGGTTTTACTTGTGCGTCGATAGAACCCAATTCATCCGGAGCAGGTCGCATCCTCTCGGCCTTGTCGTGGCGACGGGGCTTAGTACTCAGAATCGATCTGGGAAAGCCAAGAGCCACCCGAAGTCGCCAGGCTTCACGCTTTCAAAAGGCGAAAGAAATGTGATTTTTTTAAGAGGACGCACATGCGCCAAGAAAGAGAAGGAGTGCTCGATATTTGAAGTAGCATAGACAGAAAGTTGCAGTTGGGGCAGTGTTGTGTAGTGTTACTTCGTGCCCTTTTAAAACGAAAGCGGTCAGCTCCATTGCCCTTCACGCAAACGGGCAGCTCCATTGCCCCTGCACCCACGAAAACAAGGGGAAATTCGAGGGGGCTTAAGTTTTTTGTGCGGCGACCTATTTTCATGCTTTTGACGCAAACGGGCAGCTCCATTGCCCCTGCACCCACGAAAACAAGGGGAAATTCGAGGGGGCTTAGTTTTTTTTTGACGCGCTTTTATCCCCAACATTTCCGGAGGCAGTCGCCCGATCGCTCGCGGCGACCTATTTTGATTGCCCCTGCGCCCACGAAAACAAGGGGAAATTCGAGGCGGCTTAATTTTTGTTGACGCGATTTGTCCCCAACATTTTCGGAGTCAGTCGCCCGATCGCTCGCGGCGACCTATTTTGACGCGTTCCGCGCACACGGGCAGCTCCATTGCCCCTGCACCCACGAAAACAAGGGGAAATTCGAGGGGGCGTATCTTTTGGCCATCCTCAATCAAGCTCGGCTTGCACTAGATTTTCCCAGAGAAGCCGAGCTCGTGGCCCACAACTCCGGCATTCCCTCGGAGACAGGCAATGTGGTGCTCAGTCCTGGGATGAGAGTTCGCTTGACGTACAACGTCAACAAACAGGAGGGATTCGTGAACGGTAACACCGGCATCGTGCGCTTGATGCTCCGCCGTGACGTCCTTGTGATGGAGAGCTCCCAGAACCAATCCGTTCTAGTCTACCCCATCACGCTCCGAGGACGCAAGTTCCTGCCGGTCGCCTATATGGCTACGCTACAACCATGAGGCGAGCCCAAGGCGCCACGCTCGATGGCGTCGGGCTGCGGTTCGACCGACGATTGCCAGACCGTGGCTACGCTTATGTCGGAGTTTCTCGAGCCAAGGTGCGGTCTTCTGTTTTCCATGTGGGCAAGATTCGGCAAACCGATTGGCTGCCAGTGGGAGATGCGAAGGATGATGAGCACACTCTCCTGTCGTTTTTGAGCGAGTCCATCGACAACGAGGAAGAGGAGTCTTCCGAGCCCGAGACCGACAGCCCAGAGCCATCTTCGGGCGACTTCAACCAGTCTTCTGGTGAATGAGAAGCTTCTGAGTAGACCATTTCTGATCCTTCATTGCGTGGCAGCCATCTTCAAGCGACTTCAACCGACCTTCTGATGATGAGCGCTTATGTTCGAACGCGGTACGACGAATAGTCGTTCGTCGCGACCATTGCTTGCCAACTCAACAGCATTCCGGCCTCGCAAAAGCCTTGCGTGTGCCTGTTTTCATTCTCACGAGCGCATTCTAGAATGTGATGCCATTCTAGAATGTGATGCCACGCTTTCAGGCCAATCCAGCGGAACGACAACGACAGGCCGGGCGCCAGTCAACTGTAGCTTCAAGTTGCTCACAGCTCACGCCCTCTTCTTTTTGCCTTAGCCAGTATATCCCCTCCCCACCCTCGAACATCAACCGAAGACCTTGCGACTTTGGTACATAGCCTCACACTTGTGATTTTGCTTCTTGGAAAATCTCCTCCCCACCCTTGTACCACTAACAACTGGCCTTCCACCACGGTTCATGGCTAAAGACATCGTTGTTCAAGCCCAAGACTTGCGTAACCAACCTTGCGAGGCCCTGGAAACCCGAAACCTCAAGCGTTGGGCCATGATACCCTAAACTGTTGGCGTTAAACAGAATTATGGGCCTTAAACCATGAATTCTGGGCTTAAACCGAATTCTGGGCCTTAACCCACGAATTACGGGCCTTAAGCCACGAAATATGGGCCTTAAACCACGGGCCTTAAACCACGAATTAAAACCACGACTTATGGGCCTTAAACCACGGGCCTTAAACCACGAATTATGGGCCTTAAGCCACGGGCCTTCAACCGCGAATTATGGGCCTTGAACCGCGAGTTATGGGCCTTAAGCCACGAAGTATGGGCCTTAAACCACGGGCCTCACGGGTCTTAAACCACGAATTATGGGCCTTAAGCCACGGGCCTTAAACCACGAATTATGGGCCTTAAACCACGGGCCTTAAGCCACGAGTTATGGGCCTTAAGCCGCGGGCCTTAAACCACGAATTATGGGCCTTAAACCACGAATGATGGGCCTTAAACCACGAAACTGTTTCGTGGTTTAAGCACGATTCGTGGTTTAAGGCCCACAATTCGTGGTTGGAAGGCCGAAAAGGATGCCCGGCCTTAAATCACGAATTATTGGCCTTAAACCACGAATTATGCGCCTTAAACCACGAATTATGGGACTTAAACCACGAAGGGGTGGGCTCTTGGCCAGGCATGAGCTCTGATGTGGATAAATACGGTATCAGTTTTCAAAGATGTTTCAAGCAAGAACCAGGAATATTACCTGAGCTAATAGTTTCTGAGGAAAATTTCCCAAATTACAAAAAGCCGAATTCCATCATAATTAAAAGTATGTTCCACCTATGTACATGTAGTGACGGGGGAATAGGTGATTCCGAGCAAAGTGATTGCAGTGCAAGATCAGGCAGAGAGTGTCAAACTTGTACTTTGGAATCATGGAAGCACATGGACTTTTATGGTTGAATATGTGAATGTTGAACATACAACCATATCTGAATGGTGACCGGCATAGTACAGTACAAAGTTAAATGTGGGTGAATGGTCATTAAGGTTTAAATTATTATATGAAAGAGAGGTTAAGGGTTTAGGGTTTAGGGTGTAGGGTTTAGCCCAATTTCCACCACCGAGCTCGAGCAACTCCTCCCTGTGTCTCTACTGAAGCAGTCCCGAACTGAAGCCCAAGTCAGTCTGCCAACCCTTGCGCCCCTAAACCCTAAACCCTAAACCCGAAACCCTGAAGCCTAAACACCTCCGGAGGACCCTCCGGCGTGGGGCATAGGGTGTAGGGTTTAGAGCAGTCTCCCCTGAGTCCTAAATCCTAAACCCGAACCCCGATAACCCCATAACACTAGAACCCTAAACACCGAATCATGAAGCCCTACAGCCGAAGCTGCGGTAGGCATATGGGGCTGTCGCAGTTAGGAGCTTTTGGAAAGTTACAAGTAAGTGATGTGCCAATAGTAGTGATACGTAAGGAGAAGTTTGATGTCAGCAATACGAGTAAGAAAATGCAAGCAACGTGCTAACAGTGCTGTAGCATGAAGAACCGAAATGACTCTAAACACAAAGTGGTAACATCAGCAGCAACAAGCAGAAGCAGCCGAAATAGCTGCAAAACAGATTATATGCACACATAAAGGAATATAACTATGTCTATACGTACATATGTATACATGTACTTATCTACAGCTAGACATTTTTTCAGTTAACTACGATACTTCTAATAAACGAATAGATAATAATGTCTGTACACATATGTATATATATATATGTATATATATATATATGGGTACATGCCTATCCCCCCCCTGCATTTTCTGCAAATTCTGTCTTTTGCTCTTTGTCTGCGCTCGATGTTTTTATTATGTGTGCCAAAACCCCAACCGCACCAACGTACCAACGTCCCAATCATTTGGGCCCATGATTGGAACAAAACCCCCAACCGCACCAACGTACCAACGTCCCAATCATTTGGGCCCATGATTGGGACAAAACCCCAACCGCACCAACGTACCAACGTCCCAATCATTTGGGCCCATGATTGGGACAAAAAGCCAACCGCGCCAACGTACCAACGTCCCAATCATTTCGGCCCATGATTGGGACAAAACCCCAACCTCACCAACGTACCAACGTCCCAATCATTTCGGCCTATGATTGGTACACGGGATGAACTGATGTACCAATGTACCAAAGTACCAATGTACCAATGTACCAATGTACCAATGTACCAATGTACCAATGTACCAATGTACCAATGTACCAATGTACCAATCATTTCGGCCCATGATTGGTACACAGAATGTACCAATGTACCAATGTACCAATGTACCAATGTACCAATGTACCAATGTGCCAATGTACCAATGTACCAATGTACCAATCATTTCGGCCCATGATTGGTACACAGGATGAACCAATGTACCAATGTACCAATGTACCAATGTACCAATGTACCAATCATTTCGGCCCATGATTAGTACATAGGACGTTTGTACC